TCCAAGGAATCTAAGGTTGGACACTCCTTTGGCTTGACACAACTCCAGTGAACCTCACACCCGGAAAGGCTCCTCTCTTGTCTCCCCGGCCCTCATTCACCTTGTAAGTCCATGGGCTTTTCCCCCTGAGCCTCTAGGAACTCAGACTAAGTTAAGTGTGAAGCTGGCCAGTAGGATCCGGAAGCCTTTATAACCAGGCCAGCTCAGAAAAGCAGCCTTTCAGTTGACTCTTCCTACAAGGCAGCCCTGTCAGAGACTCCCAGGGCCCTGGCTCCTCGGTGCTGTGGTCGGTGTGAGGCTGCCACCTGCTGATTGTTCGGACAAAGTGCCTGAGGCATCTGTCTCCTCCCAGGCAGAAGTGTTTCAAAAGGTGCACTGGCCCTTCCCAGGCAGGGCCCGCCAATTAGGGAAGGTAAACTCTGACTCGGTGAAGAGAGCCCTGTGCTGCAAAAGGTAATCTCTAATAAATATTAATAATTATACTCACTGATGAAATTGAATGACATTAATAGTGAGTTCTAGTAGCTGATATTAAGATGCTATTCTGCAGCAAAATTTCATATATATAATTATATCATCTTTTACACATGCATAAGTCTTCATGTATTGATTATTGAATATGATTCTCATTGCAGTCCCACAAGCAAAATATTGTTGCCATATCCATTTCTTTCCGCATGAGGAAACAGACTATGAGAGCACAGAGACGTGCGGAGATCACGCGGCTAGCAAGTAGGAGAGTCCGAACCTGAAGGCAGCAGCTCCTAGAGTTGTGAGAAGGGGGATGGCAAACATTTTACATGAAGCCTATGTTCCAAAACAGAGATTACCTGGGAAGTTTTGAGAATAGGGATGTACCAGGACTCCTTCACAGCCCGTTGTACAAACTTTGTACCAAAACATGCAGAGAGAACAAGTTCTGAAGTCTGTTTTGTCTGTCCTTCAGCAAGGTCCGCCCCTCCCGGTGAATACCTGTGGGTCCCCCGTTCTTTCTGTGGCATGAGGAGGGCAGAGGGGAAGGGGCGGAAGTCAGTGCTGTCTTGCTCTCTTCTGTCTGCACGCTTTGTTCTCTGCGGAGGGTCTCAGGGTCGGAGGAGGAACAGGCTGTGGTGGGTCCTGAAGCCACGAGGGGAGCTTTGAACGGGAGGTTTGTGTAGAAAATCCATGAGGATGGACTGCTCACCCTGCAGAGATACTCCATGAAGAGGCACCAGCCCTTTGTATATATAGTACCAAAAAAAAAATTTGAAATTCTGCATTGAGCTTTTGAAAGGTTTCTGGCATAATTATCATTTATTTATACCCATACTTGTTATAAATAGGATTTTTTTCTAACTTAAAAAGGATCTGAAGAGTTTTAGTATTGGCTGAGTTAATTATAACAAGAACAGTGAAGTGTTAAACGTTACACAATATTGTATAAATCATTGCACAATTTTCTATAATAAGTGCACAATGCGTGTACACTGTTTCCCATGACAACAAGTAAATAAGTATTCTATCCACCAGGGGAAAGGCTGGATAAAAATTGTGCATCACAGGTAAAGGAAAATTTTACAGGCAGTTCCTTTCATGCAAACCAATTGATTTTATAACAGGTATTTAATTTTCTTTAGTCTTCTAGGTTTTTTTAATAAACCCTACTCTACATTGTTATTATTTTTGTTTAAGTAGTCAAATATCTTTTCAAAGATTTAGATAACAACTCTTTAAAATGCACCCACGCAGGTTTGTTTGTTCTTTTTTCTTTCAGTACTTTAAAGATGTTACTCCACTCTCTTCTGGCTTGGATTATTCTGATGAGAAATCTGCTGCCTTTCTTACCTTTGTTTCCTCCATGTGTAATGAGTCTTTTTTCCCCTGGCTTATTTTAAGACTTCTCTCTTGATCAATGGTGTTGGACAATTTCATTTTGGTGAGCCTTGTTACATTTTCCTTCATATTTCTGGTGTTTGGTGTTGTTTCAACTGCTCAAAACAAACTCTTCTTGGAAATGTTTTGTCCTATGTGCCTCTCTTCTTTGGGATATTCCGATTACGTGTGAACTCAGGTGCTTGGATGTGTCCCAGGCTCACTGATGCTCTTTTGATTGTTTAACTTCCTGTTTTTGTGATCTCTGTCTTTTATTTGGGATAGTTTCTATGTCTCTGTCTTCAGTTTCACTAATCTTTTCTTCTGCAATCTCCAAAATGCTGTTGTTAATCTCATCCAGTATAACTTTTACCTGAGACATTGTAGTTTTCATCTCTAGAATTTCAATTTGGGTGTATTATAATATCTCATAATCTTTACTTAACACATTTAATCTTTATTCTGCTCCTTGAATATATGGACTATAGTAATAATAAAGTGTTTTCATGTTCTTGTTTGCTAATTGTCACATCTGTGTCAGTTTTAGGTTCATTACAGTTTATTGATTTTGATTTTTCTTCTCATTGTGATCATATTTTCCTGATTCATTGCATGCCTAGTATGTTTCATTAGATGCCAGATACTGTGAGTGTTACCTGTGGGTGCTAGATATTACTGTATTGCTATAAGTATTCTCAGCTTAGATCTGAGACACAGTTGAGTTACTTGGAAACCATTTGATCTTTTAAGGTCTTGATTTTAAGGGCTGTTAGGTGGGAAGAATACTTTTTTGAGGGCTGATTATTCCTCACTCTTAAGGCAAGACTCATCTGAGCACCTTCTCCTGCCAGCGCTCTGTGAATTACGAAGCTTTAGGGTCTGGCTGGTGGGAGCACGCGCTGTTCCAGGCCTGGGTGAGTGGTGGGCATTGCTGTGTCTCCTACTCCTTTCCAATGTGCCTTCCCACAGCCTTCTGGGTTTGCTCACATGCATGAGCTGGTCAGTACTCAGCTGAATACTCAAGAGGGGCCCTGTAGAGCTCTCTCTCTGGGCCACTCTCTCCTCTCTCCCTGCTGACTCTGGGAGCTTGAGCTGGCCCTGTCTTTTCAGACTCTCAGTCCTGCCTCCTCAGCCTGGGGAGTCTGCAGGGAGGCCACTCTCCCTGCAGCAGGGTGACCGTAGAACTCACACTATTTGTGTTTTTAATGTCCTGAGGCCCATTTTCCTGAAGCCATATTTTCATATACTTTGTTCAGGTTTTTAGTTGTGTCAGCTGGCAGGGAAATCTAGTTTTTGTTACTCACACTTGCCAGAAACAGCAGATTTCTCATCAGAATGATCCAAAGAGAGGTTATTTAGGTCTATGACTAGTAAATACTTTTATATTTTACCCTTAGTTACGTGACAAGAAGTAACAGCTGTGTCAAAAGACATGGTTTCCTCAAAACTTTGCTCAAGTTTCCTTCATATCCTTATAATTCAGCCATTAAAAACTGGTATCTTCTGATTTTTAGCCGTTCATTGTATTTGAAGTGAATTCATGAATGTGGAGTTTACAAATTTTTAATTCTGCAAATCCAAGCTTCTTCCCGTCTACATTGCCCTCAGGGGGAGGCAGTTGGGATGTGGGCTGGTAGGCCCCACCCTGCGACTCCATATCCACCAGTGCCTTTTGCAGACACGTGGGCAGGTAAGGCGGGTGGCAGGAAGTCCTACAAGGAGAAGAGGCGCTGCCACCCTTGCCAGTGGGGCTGTCCTTGACCGTTGGATCTAGAACTCACAAGCAGAGGCCGGCCTGTTTGTTCGTTTTTTCCTTTGAACCCTTCTGCAGCAGCTGGTTCTGCAAGGCAAGGCAAATCCCCTCCTTCCTCCGAGGTACCAGACATCCAAGCCCTACACCCACCAACCACCAGCTTTTCACTCTCAGCCCCCCACCCCAAACCCATGCCCATCTTTTCTTCCAGGACAAATAAGGCTCCTCCTTCTGCTTTTTGTACTGTAAGGAGGCTGCAGTCCAACCATCCCCTTTCTGCCCAGGAGACTTCTTCATCTAGCCCATACTGCAGTGCAACTAGAAGCATTTCCCATTAAAGAAGAGGAAAAAAATAATCCTGGAATTTAATCTTTAGCAGGGTGACTCCCTAGCAACCGCCCCATTCCCCGACCCCCATTAATATAACCTGATATTTACATAGGAAGTGACAGACAGGTTTAGAGTTTCAAGATGCTCATGCCTGGAGAGTCTTTACCTGCCCACACATAATGTTGCTCCTTCTCTGCCCCTTCCAACCTCTCAAAATGACAGGAGTGGCATTGTAAGACATGAGCATGGGCTTTGGTCATGTGAGCAGAGTCCAGATGAGGTTTGTAAGGGGTTCTTAGCCAACATTTAATCAAAAGATCAAGAATATATATGGCTTAGTCCATGTGGGCTGCTATAGCAGAATACTGTCAACTAGGTGGCTTACCAACAGAAATTTATTTCTCACAGGCTGGAAGTCCAAGATCAAGGTGTCAGCAGATTTGGTGCCTAGCAAGGGCCCACTTCCTGGTTCATAGGTGCTCATCTCTTGCTGTGTGCTCTCCTGGTGGGAGGACGAGGGAGCTCTCTGGGGTGTCCTTTATAAGGGCACTAATCCTATTAATAAGAGCTCTGACCCCATTACCAGATAACCCACCAAAGGCCCCACTTCCTAATACTATCACCTTGGGGGTTAGAATTTCAGCATCTGAATTTGGAGGGGAGGCACAAATACTCAGTTTATTGTAATATGTATACGCACAGATGTATAAACTTGGGGTTTTATTGGGTTTTTATTAATGTGACATTTAAGGCATATGCATTTCCTTCTGGATTTTCTTCCCCATAGTAAAGATCTGTTTCACAATCATTGTTATTCTGAGAGATGTTAGTCTCCCTGCCTTTGTGTCATGTTTTACTCCTTATATGAGGAAACCGGTGATGGAATTTTACATGGACCCTCTGGCAGTTGGGGGGAAAAGCCTTGGAATTGCCTCATGCACTTCTCTTTCCCTGCTGCAGGCATTTGTGGAGGATCCACGGCATGCCGGGCGCTCGGGGGTTTGAGCCCAGCCTTGCTGGCCTGTTTGCGCCTTACTCACCCAGGCCTCTCCTTTCCTTTCCGCAGGTGCCATGGTGAGCAGGGCAAACAGCTGTCAGTCTGACAGCAGCGGGTTCCTGGAGGAGCTGCCAGAACCACCAGCCTTGCAGGTGGAGGGCCCGGGAGGGCTGGGAGGGGGTGGGGAGGGGAAGAAATGCAAGCTGACAGGGTGCTGCCAAATCCAGAAAGGGCAATCGATGCTTAGAAGACACATGCCACAGGCACCCAAGAGACAGGGGACATTAAACAAGGTGCCGGGAGGCTCAACATTCCTTTCCCTTTTATTTTCTTTTACTTTTACTACACAAGGAAGGTGAGCCTCATAGAAAGAAGGTCCCAGCTAAAGTAGTAAACTGACAGAAACCGGAGTGTGTAACTTACTCTCATCTCCTGACCCCTAAGTCAATGGTAATGATGAGGGGAAAAGAAAGCAGTTCTTCAGCCTCGCACCTCCCCTGCCTTCCTGACCCCTTTGCCTCCTTCCCGGCTTCTTCCACAGGTGCCTTCCCTGCCTGCAGGCCCGAGCCCTGCTGAGGACGGATGCAGACGGCCAGGGGGTCAGAGCCAGCGCCTGGCGCCTGCCCAGCACGGCCAGCGAGACTCAGAGGAGTCTGACTCCAAGAGTGGGACGAGCATGTCCTTCTCCAGCCAAGACTGGAGTGTCTTAGAAGAAAAGTCCTCAACGTCTGTGGTGGAGGCGGAGTCTCATCTGGAGGCCACAGAAGGACAGCCAGGACTGTCAACCTCCGATGTGGCCCTGAGCAGGGCCTCCGGTGGGGGAGAACACCGAGGGAAAGACGGCCACCAGAGGCAGCCCCCGCCTGTGCCCCACACTCAACATGAGGCTGATATCAGCACAACTCCCTGCCCGTATGATCTGGAGTTCACGGTGACCCATGTCACTGAAGGGAGGAGTGGGTTTCTGAGGCCTGGGGGGACTGGGGACACGCATGTGCAAAGCCACCTCTGGGAGCCTCAGACATCACTGGACATGGATCATGCTAGAGACAAGTCCCTTCATGTCGGCCCGGAGGCCCCAAGAGGAGCGGAATGCGGTGAACCCTGCCCCGACTTCCACCACAGAGCCCAGACAGGGGAAAGTCCGCCAGAGCCTGTCCCCAAGTCCAGCAAAGCCGGACCCTCTGCAGCGAACCTTATTCACACATCTGAAAAGGCTGTTCCCCACCGAGAGAAGGTGCCTAAAGGCGCTACTCCCCACGTGAAGCCGAGGTATGGTGCTGCGGGTCCGAAGCCACCCAGGGCAGAGCCTGAGCTGGGAGCCCTTCCTCCCCGCACTGGCTCCAGCTCCGGTCGCCCTGAGTCTGTGACAGTCCAGAGGCCCTCCCGCCTGGTGTCAGCTGCTCAGAGTGCTGTGGCCTTAGGGCCTTACTCTAGAAGAACAACTTTAGAACGCACTGTGGGTGACCCTGCTGCCACGACAGAACCAGTTCTGGGGACAGAAGCCAGACAGTTCCATGATGTTTCTGTTCAGACCGATCTTTGGGAGGCCAGGTCCTGGCATTGCTATTCAGTTCCAAGTAGCAAGGCCCAGCCCTGGACCAAATCCATCTCCCTGGATGCCGGCCTCCCTAGCAGCTGCTCGGTTCATACCTGCCACGCCGTACCCGCCCACTGCTGGGGTTGCTCTCGTCACCATCCCCACTGCCACCCGGGGGGACAAAGCCCCAGCCCAGTGCCCTTGGCCTGCAGCTGCGGCCTGTGCTCACATAGCCACCGGGAGGAGCAGTTCTCGAAGACTCTGGAAGTCCTGCGGGACCCTGCAGTGAGGGAGCTGTGCTCTGTAAGTGTGACCTCTGCAAAGGTGGGGGCGAGGGCGGATGAGGGGGCAGCAAACTCCGAAGGGGTGGTGTTTCGCCTTCCTTCTCAGACGCCACTCAGGGCATACCTTTCCATTGCAAATCAGGAGTAGAATTTGTAGAGTGCTTTATGGTTTATGACTTTTCTCACAAACTTCTTTTTACTTTATACTTCCTATTACTTTGTGAATTAAGGAAGGCAAATTTTGGTATCAGCTCCCATTTCACAGAGGGCTAGAGAACCTTACATAAATTCCTGCAGAAGGTTATAAACATCATTAATGCATCCGAACCTCATCTTCGATGCAGTCTAACTGACCGATTCTCTGTCTTAAATTCACTTAGCTGTATGGTCTTGCACAAGTCACACAGTTTCTGTGAGCCTAGTTCTGAGTAGCCGCAACAGTGTGGAGAGAGCTGGCCACTAGAAAGAGACATCTCTCCTGATTTGAGGCTTTGACCTGTAGCACTTCTGCAGGAAGTGCAGCGTTTCTGTGGCCCAGCCTCAGACTTGTATACAGGTCTTAAATGAACAGGAGTTTGGGCGAGTGTACACACCACCACCCCGTGTCTTCTAATACCTTGTCTCCCATTGACCTGACCCTCCCACTTTTTAAAATTTTGCAATTATACCAAAAAATGGTACTTTTATATCAAATTGATTTAGTGATATATACCTGCTGAAATGCATACTACATTGGGTTTTACTAGAAGACAATGCATGTCTCTTTAAATCCAAGGAACCACAAACACACACTCAAAGGAATCAAAACACAGATACACATGCGTATTTGCACTTCTCTGCTGGTGCACACACACACACACACAGGCAGAAAAGCAAGTGAAAACGAGGTATTTCATTCACCCATGGGAAGAGGCTCCTTAAATAAACTAAAGAACAGAGTCAGGAACATACAGAAGAAGCATCAGCAGTGAGCAAGCCTGGGTTTGCAAGGCCCAGAAATATCAGGGAGAAAAATGGCACTAAGTTAGATGCAGAGTGCTGGCTGAGGATAGAAAAGTTAATAATTAATGAGAAAATTATCTAAAAATGGGTTTTGGACCAAGTGAATATTATAGGAAGAGGCCAATGCCATCTATTACATGGCAATGGAAGTTCCAAGCATATGTTGAAATCAAAAGCATTTTAGGTTAAAAACCCAGAAAAACAGCGCCGCATCACCACCTCACCCCCTCACATAGCAGCCTGTACCAGTGCAGAGGACGCTTGACTGGTAAATGCCATTTTCATGGACTTGGGAGTCACCTAAGACAAATTTGGGGGCATTAAAAAGTTATTTTATAACATTTATGATTTATATTTAAAGAAAAAGAAAAGCGTACGCAGTTTAAAATGTAATGTGAGCCAATTCAAAAGTTCCTGGTCATTTGGTGGGACGGTTCTTGCTGTTGAAGTTGTGTTAGTGGGCGTGGCTCAGACCACGCATTGGGTTGCGTTATAACCCAGCTCTTCTATTGCCAAAACAACTTCAAACCAGTGCCAGCTTTTTTTATATTTATTAATTTTATTTTCTTAAGGTTTTCTTTTTTCTGGGACTACTTCAATACTCGTTCTAGAGCCCAAATGTATTTTCTGTGTTTCCAAATGACCAGGAGATGGCAGTGTTTCAGAGTTTTCCAAGCCGTTCCCTTGACCAGGAACTGGAGACCCTATAGCCCAGCTCACCCCTCCCCACCCCCGCCCCACCTTCCAATTACAAAATCTAAAATAACTAGAGGAAACGTACAATTCAGTGATGACAATGTCCAGCTTACTTGAGCACCCCATTTCCATGTCCTTGGTCTTGCTGGCCATGGAATGTGCTCGTCTTGTAGGAATCTGCTAGGGTCACACATTATCTCCCTCCTAAGGGGACAAATAACTTCTCAGTGTGGCCAGCCACACAGTAGCCCCTGCTGTGACACAGAAGAGAAGAAGTGAACCCTTGGGTTTGAAATCTGACTGCCATTTTTTTGACCTTGGACAAATTTATTAACCATTCTATGTCACAACACTTTATCTCTAAAAGGAGTCCTTCATGGTCTCTATGATCTTTTCTGGCTTGAAGAGCCATCATTGTATTCACCTTTCACACACTCTTGCCAACACCCATAATGCTTCAAACACGCCTCTAATGGATTAAGGTGCACTCATACGGAAGCAAAAGTAGCTGGAGAGTTTTGCTATGTAAATACGTTATTCAACATAAAAATTAGAAGACAGAATCAAAACTGAACTCTGCAAGCAAAACGATGGAGAGTTTTCAGAAGAGATCAGGCACGTTCAGGGTGGTATGGCCATAGACAAAATGATGGAGAGTTTTCAATAAAACAAATAGCATTCTCAGGAAAATAATTTTTATTATGACAATTCTGGTTTTTAAAAAAAATACAGCATCAGGCTGCCAGGTTCTTGGCCATGTGGTTTTGAGGAGAAGGGTAAAAAACCTGGGACTTCTTCAAAGCAGGGCTAGGAAAAATTAACATAGCTGTAAGATTGGTTCTCATGAAAGGAAGAAGAAAAGGTTAAAAAGAGGCCTGCCTGAGAAATCAGTTTCCTTTCAAGAGCTTCCTAGAAGCCCAGCCTCATGCTCTCCACTTTCATCTCATTGCTATCCTGAGTGCACGGAATGCTAGGGAATGTAGTTGTTTTTTTTTTTTTTTTTACTTAGACATATTGCTGCCCCTAAGATATAAGAGTTTGCTAATAAAAATAAAGGGGAAAAAGATAGTAGGTAGGCAACTAGCAGCCTCTGCCCCACCAATCAGGAAGGGGGTCCAAACCCATGGGCCTGGCAGAGAGAACATTAGGCTTCAATCAGCATTTACGTCACTCAGTCAATGGGTTGGGATGCTGCGCTTCTGGATTATGGACCCATTCAAAGCATGGTCCAGCCTGAGCTGGAAAGCAAGAGATGGCTGGTAAGAACTCAGTAAATCAACAGAGTGCCTAACGGACTGGGCTTGGTGGCTACAGGAAGATATTTAAATAAGGAAACCAAAGCATACGGGGAAAATACGATTTAAAGAGTGATTCCCATCAGGAGCAGTGGGGAGCAGGATTGGGAGGGCAGTTCAGTCCCCGATTCCGGTTCATGGCAAGATGGCGCGCCCAGCCATGCCTGCCTTCCCGGGGATGGGCTCGTTAGTGAGCTGGGGGTGACCCCCGATTTCAGTCACCAGAGACTGTGATTAAGCCAAGCTAAGACTAATAAAAAGTATTCTTAGAAGGCTTTCTGAACAGATGTGTTCCGTGCTGAACAGATGTGTTCTGTGCTATTGAGGTTCAGAGTGAGGCAGTACTTGGCAAAAAGTGAAACAAGGTAGACTTACCTTCTCTAACCACATGCCCACACTCTGGCCATTCCCCCACCCCCTATTACAACCTCCCATCCTGTATCACCTAGTCCCCTGGACTGCCTTCCCACCCAACACCTTTGGCCCTCCCGGCCCAGCCAGTATCGCCTCTGGTTGCTCAGAGAAGCCCAAGGCTGGGCTCTCCCTATTCTCTCCCTGGCATATTAGCAGTGGGGCAAAGCAGTGGACCCAGGTTGGGTGGCAGCCTCCACCGTGGCAAACTGGCGGTGAATCAGAAGGACATCCTTCTGAACTCTTTCTGATTATTCTCAGTGCACAGCCTACGAGATGGACGCAATGAAGATGCTCTGCCGGGGTTTCCGGGAGCATTTAGAGGAAATTGAACAGCACCTTACAGGACAGCAGGCGCTCTTTTCTGGGGACATGTCAGAAGAGGAAAGGTAATTAATTATCTGAGGGAGCCATAATGGCGAGTACCAACCCACACCCCTGCAGCCAGGAAAGGTAATCAGGACAGGACAGAGGAGCACCGAGCAGCAGGGCTAATGAGATGCCAGCCAACCTTGCCTGGGCTCTCATGCTCTTGTTCTTGTTTTCTCGGTGGGAATCTCTGAGAGCCGTTGGCTAGGTAGCCACGCGTACTCTGGACGGCCAGGGCGGTCTGAGGTCAGGGGTGGGCGGCAGCTGGGAGAGGGCCTGGTCAGCAGGACATCTGTAATCAATGCAAATGGCCTCCTGTAAATGCACATGTCAGGACTGACTAGAGTTTTGAAAATCTGCATTATTTTCACATAGATTAGAAGTACAGAATCCAAATGTAGACTAGTAATTCCCTGAAGTGGGGGGGAGTGGGACTAGGGGTTAACTGTAAAAAGCCATGAAGGTTCTCACTGGGAAGATGGCATTGTTCCAAATCTGGATGGTGACCGTTGCACAACTTAATAAATTCACTAAAAATTATTGAATGGGACTCAACATGGGTAAACTTCATGATACGTAAATTAGTCTGCAATAGAGTTGTTTAAAAAGAAAACCCTGTCCTAGTAATACACCTATGTCTTCAATTGATACAAATAAAGGAGGGGACATTTTCATTCCCTTGCAAGAAATATCAAAGGAGTGACCTGCGTTTTGAGAGGAGCTGTACAAGACAGCACTTGGGTGGAGGTGGTTGTGAAACCTAACTTTCTGTTATTTACCTGCAGGAAGGAGGCGGAGCACCTGCAAGCTTTGCGCAAGGCCCTGAGGCAGCAAGTGGAGGAGCTAGAGTTTCAGTTAGGAGACCGGGCCCAGCAAATCAGAGGAGGGATCCTGTTGGTACGGGGCCAGGGGGCGTGGAGTCGGGCTGCATGCTGCCCACTGTAGGAGGGGTACATTCAGTGAGAAACTGGATTGTGCAATTGTTTGAGGTTCCAGGGCTGTACGCCAGCCCCTGCATTTTAAATGTAAAGAAATTGAAGTGCACTGGTTTGCTCAAGGCCACGTGGCTAGCTGATGGTAAATCAAGGTTAGAACTCAGGTCACCTAACCCCCACGCCCAGCTTTGTCTCTGCCCTGTACATTTGTCATTAGTCCATTTTCCAAATGAGAACAGAGACGCAGCTTTGGCCCGAACATGGGCTGAGTCTCGGCCAGCATCTGCTGCTGGCTCGCAACCCACTCTGGAGAAGGAGCCACCCGTCAACGCCCTTCCTGCAAGCCTGGGTTAGCTGGTCAGTGTATAGAAGGTAAGTTGTCCACTCTTTTTTGTTTTTGTTTTCCTTTTAGCAGCTTGAGCTTCTCGCAGGAGAGCCCCCTGAAAACCGTACAAATCCGCACCAGTATGACTGGACAGAAGACAAGAAGGGCCAGACTCCAGCCGCCCAAGCCCGGCCAGCCGTGGCCCTTGGGGCTGCCTTGCCTGCCGACAGCAGCCAGTGGGCTTCCTGCCCGGGCATAACCCGCGTGGCTGCCTGTCCCCCACTCACCTGGGAGAGCCACGCCAGGATGTCTCCTCCGGCTCAGGAAGAGTTGGGTTCAGCCCTTGTGTCCACCTGTCCCATTGGAGAAAAGGACACAGATGTCAGCCTCTAGCTCAGAGTGGGTTTGGTGGCCTTCCTGCCAAATGCAAGAGCACACCAGAGAAGGATCTCTAAATTCCCCCAAGGAGATTTATCGCTTGATTTTTTAAAAATATTCTACTCTATGGCTAAACCCGGGAGGAACTGAGAATATTCTAATTTCCATTCAATACACAATAAGTGAGCACCTACTGTGCGCCTGGCATAAAGAATACGTGGTGGCCAACATATATACAGCAAGTCCCCTCTTATCATCAATAGTTTCTGTGACTTGAAGGAAAACGTTGTATGATGAAACCGATTTTACCACAGGCTAATTGCTATACACAAGAGTTAAGCTCCCACGGCCTTTAATCAATGTCACGATGAAACTGTTGGAAAAAAGAATGTTATTCGAGGATCTGTTATATATTTCAAAGTACATACAGTGTACAGCCTTCACTGTGCTCAAATTTACCATCCTCTTGGGGAGAGAGAATGTAAACATAAACACGCATGAATGGAAAACCTGTGTGAAAGTGCTTTAAAGGAAATCATGGGGTGTTTTGACAGAGGACACAGCAAGGGGTCCGATTTAGAGCCGGGGATGATATGCAGGGCCTGGTGGCAGGAGTGGCAACAGAAGCCTCAGGCACAAGGCCCCTTCCGGGAAGCCTTGAGTCTGCTGGCCTGGCCGGAAGCGTTGGTGAAGCCCCAACCATGGGCCAGCAAGTCCCCTGTGCTTGGGACAGACCTGGGAAAGGGCAGGATTTCTCCTCACAAAGAAGTGGACGAAGAGTGAGAAACAACAAATAATTCCAACGCTGACCAGTGCCGTGGTGAAGCCGAGAGTGTGATGGGGAGGGGAAGAAGCGGCCCGGTAGTCAGGCTGGTCGGGAAAGGCCTTGCTGAGGGAGGCTCTTTGGCTAAGGCCTGAATGGTGAGAGAGGAAGAGGAAGCTGTGTGGAATTCTGGGGAAAGAACCAGTTTTAAAGCAGAGGGAATGAAAGTTTCCGGCCCTGAGGCAGAAACGGTGAGAGAGACTGAGGGTCTGAGTGATGGGGGAGACCGGGAGGTCCACGAGGTGGGCCGCTGCGCTGACAGGGCTGGAGGCGGAGAGCCGGGACGCTTGGCTAATGGAGAGCCGTTGTGGCTTTAAACAGGGCCCTCATATGATCTGATCCGCATTAGAAGTCATGCTGACTGCCTTGTGGAAAAGGCACAGCTGGGGACTTCCAGCTGGGCGCAGCGCCCAGCACGCCGGCCGCCGGTGTGACCCCTGAGGTGGGAAGCAGAGCCGTGGACGTGCTTCCACTCAGCCGGGGAGGCTCAGGAGGCCCCGCCCCGGAAACGGAAAGGTGTGCCCACAGGCTGAGTGCACTTGCAGTCTCTACGGAGGACGGGAACGCGGAGGAATGGGGAATACAGGAAGAATGGAATAGTCAGGAACCTGCATGGAAGCTTCTCAGTTGTTTAGAAAGGTGGGCAAATGGAGGTCATTGCCAACAAGTAAACTAAGAAGCTCTTTCTTTAAAAATGACCCATTACCAGAACTGCCTTCTCACCGGTCCCCATCCTCCTCGCTGTTTGGAAACCTGTCCACTGGGGCCCTCCGACCCTTCGGACGGTGCGCGGTTTCCTGTGTTGACTAGACTTCCTCACGGTGTGGACGTCCACCCTTCACTCTCGCCTCTCCACACCGTCTTCCTCAGCACACGCTCACCCTGCCGGCTCTGTACCCCCACCCCCAGCTCCCTTCAGAATTCCTGTCCTGCGGTGTCTTCTTTCTACAAGATTTATTTTGGAAAACAACTCCCTACTTTCCACTTAATCGGAATAAATGAGGAGCCATGAGTCGTGTGTTTGCTTTCTCTGAAAGCTTGCCATGAAAACAGGGATGTCCTTTGAAATTTAGAATGATAATAAGTTTCCTTTCTTGTAGTTGGTAGGAAGTTCCAGTGCAATCTTATTCACGTTTGTATCTTTTACCACATTTGATGGCAGTATCTTGCTCATAGTCACTTCTCTATAAATGCTTATAGAAATAAAGAAAACTGCTTTGTTTTATATAAAACAATATTCTGGAACTTGTCTTCATTTATGCTCCAAGAGAGACAGATACACATCTGTCTATGAAAAGTAATAGTCCACTACCACACATAACATTCTCTTTAAAAAGACATGTTATGGACTGAATTATATCCAATCCCCAACCCCACTGCCGCCCAAAAATTATATCTTGAAGCCTTAAGCCCCAATGTAACAGCATTTGAAGGCAGGGTGTTTAAGGAGATAATCAAGGTTAAGTGTGGTCACAAAGGTGGGATCCTCATCCAACAGGACAGGCGTTTTTATAAGAAGAATGAGAGGCACCAGAGATCTCTCCCTTCACATGTGCACATGGGAAAGGCCATGTGAAGACACAGGGAACAGGGGACCATCTATGAGCCAGGGAGAGAGGCCCACCTGAAACCAACCCTGCTGGCACCTTGTTCTGGGACTTCTGGCCTCTAGAACTCTGAAAAAGTAAATCTCTGTTGTTTGAGCACCCAGTTGGTGATATTTTCTTATGGCAGCCCAGGTAGACTAACAGATTTGGGTTCCATGAAGTGGGGTGATCCTGTAATAAATTATCTAAAAACGTGAGAGGGGCTTTGGAACTGGGTAAAGTGTCAGGGCTACAAGATTTTTGAGGTGCATGTTTCCCTTAGAATAAGCTTTCTCATTTTTTGCTGAGAATTTTCCAAATCATTTTGTCTCATTCCTTCTTGTTTAACGATTCCTTCCATTTATCTCTCTCATCTTGCATTTTACTATAAGCAATAGGAGAAACCACACTACACCTTCAACACTGCTTAGAAATCTTAGTTAAATATTCATTATTATTGCTTGCATCTTCCACCTTGCACAAAACACAAGAACACAATTCAGCCAAGTTCGTTGTCACTTTATAACAGGATAGCACTTCCTGTAGTTCCCAGTGGCATACTCCTCATTTCTGTGCGAGGCCCCACCAGAATCACTTTCAGTGTTCATATTTCTACCAGCATTCTGCTCCTGATGGCATATGCATCATCTAAGACAATGGAAGCTTTCTCTCTGGCTCCCCTCTTTTCTTCCTGAGCTCTCATCAGAATTGCCTTTAACATACAAGGAGGGGCAAATGTAGGTTTACAGTTATTTGTATAGAAAATAATACAATAATAAATAATAATATGAAAATAAACTCTGTGTTTTCACGTACTCACAACTATAAACCCACTTTTGCCCCGCCCTGTATTTCTACCAGCAGTAACATCAAGGCAATCTAAACATGTTCTAACTTGCACCTAAAGAGAATGACTTGGCTCAAGGTCATGTCCCCTTTCTCAGGACTACCTGTATCTAATGACTGGTTGAGCTGAGAGTATGTAAACCAAGCCCCCTCATCTCAACTTGGGACAGCTCTCAACCGCTGGGTCAGAGCTCCCCCTGGGTAACCTAAGGCCATGGTTGTGACTACAGCCCAACCCCCAACCCCCATCTCCGCTAGTCCTGCTTCCTTGTCTCCTCTCACAGACAGTAATTCCAAGAGTACTCCCTAATAAACTCTCAATCTCCATTTCAGAATCTGCTTCCTTGGAAATCTAATCTGTGAAACTATTGAAGTTTAAGTTTTCTCAGAAGTAGACCATGAAACAAGGAACAAGTTCAAGTATTTTAAGAAGTGACCCCTAACAACACTAGCAAGGTAATGGGAATGTAGGAGAGGGAAGGGATGAAAATCAGTAATGTGCACATCATCAAGCAAGTTAACTACAGTATGCAAACAGAACTTAATTCCACTGGGGAAATCTGAGGCACAGTGGAGAACATGCTACAGAGTTATCCCATCTGAGGTATGTGGGACAGGGCTATTTATTCATCAATTCCCAGCGGTCATTGGTTGAAAGCCACTCCAAGAGCACCAGTCAGTTCCCCAGTATCATCAGAGAGCTCTGTGTGCAGGAAGAATAGGATCGAGCCCAGCCAATTCACTGCAGGGACTGGCAGTTAGAAATTTCATCAGAGCAGGGGAAAAAGGTGCTCAGAGATATATGTCATATCATATAATAACTAAAAAACTTAAGTTGCCCAAATATACCAACAAACCACTGTAGGTTGTGTTCATGTTTCTGCCCATTGTTAGTGTCTACCCTACTTCAATAACTTCTCTACCCACTGGGATATATATAACTTGTAATATTCGAGTCAGACAAAATCTCTTGAAACTATACCTGGTTTCCTCTTTTTACCTCTATAGGGAGAAGTACCTTTTCCTTTGTGTCTCTGGTATACCCTATGATGACTCCACCCTTAACTCCAATGTCTACATGACACTTAAATGCTCACATTTCTACCTTCCCCTGGACTTCAAAGTAAGTTTCTTGAAAGGAAAGTTGAGTCTTTATCTTTCTGGAATCATTCATACACGGTTGGCACATTTGGTGGAAAAAAAAAGATTTTAAAACATCAGGCCTGATCACAACTACACAGAGCGGTATTTTCACTGGGTATAGAAAACTGCGTTGACAATATTCTCTCAACACTTTAAAAATGTTTGCCACCTTTTGTGTGTGTGTGTTTTTGTGGTTTTTTTGTTTTTGTTTCACCTCCATGGTTTCTGGTGAGAAATCTTCCATCATTTGAGTCATCTGTCCCTTCTCTGTAATGTATTGTTTTTCTCTGGTCTTTTCAAAATGTTTTGCTTTGTTTTGTTTTCTGTTCTTTGATTATGAAGACTCAGAGCATGGTTTTCTCTGAGTTTATCTGACTTGAAGTTTGCTGAACTTCTTGCATCTGCAAATATATGTCTTTTCCCAAATTCGGGAAATTTTCATCCATTATTTCTTCAAATATATTTCTATATTAATTTCTTGTTCCTCTCCTCCCAGGATTGTAATAACACTGATATAAAAACATGTGATATTGTCCCACAGTTCTTTGAGGCTCTGTTCATATGTTTTAGCAAACTTTTTTTTCTTCTGTGTTTTCCAGATTGGATCATTTTTATTGATCTACCTTCAAGCTAGTTGACCTTTTTCCTTCTCATCTCCATTCTGCTTTTGAGGTCTTCCAGTAGACTTTTTATTTCTGTTGTTGTAACTATCAGTTCAAAATTTCCCATTTGGTTCCTTAGTATACCTTCTATTTCTTTGCTGAAAAAATCTATCTTTGATTTCAGCAGTGTTCACCTTTACTTCATGGATCATTATTACAAGAAGTGCTTT